CCTGTCCCTGGGCATGCTCCAGGTTAAAAAAAAGAACAAAACAAAAAACCAGCACACTGGAGACTTTCTTTTGCTGCTTGTCCCGATTTTTGTCTGCCCCCTCTTGCAGGGAGCTCAGAGCAGACAAGACTATTGGCAGTGGGGCATTAATGATGTGACGGCTTTTACACCTACTTTAAGCAGCTCTAATTAAAAACTGGATTCTAGAAAAAAACAAGGGGTTACCAGGGCAAAACTACTGCATTTTCAGCGCTGTGAACTGTACTCCAAAGCACGATTTCCCAGTCCGCCCTCCCGTGCTCTGCTCAGGCAGAGCGACCCGGGCACGGTGCTCCCCGCAGAGCTGCCCGCGTGCGTCCCGCAGCCCGACCCGCCACAGCCCTTGTTGCGGTAACGGAGCACAACGTGCGGCTCCTGGCACTGAGCTCACTGCAGCACTGCTGGCAAAGCCAACTCACAGCGTCACATCACAGACATCAGAGCTGACCTGATGCTTAGGTCTTGTATATAATACATTCAGTCTTAACTGCCATTAGATTTACTTTGGTTTGTACCCGCCTCAGGTTCGAACAGCCTGTAATTATCGTCATCGTTTGCAAATGCAATGCAGGAGGGCAAGACGGAAGATGCCCAGGGTATTCTACGACTTAATGTGCGAGGATATTTATACACAGCCAGGCGCGAGTCTTTCTGCCACTTTAAGAATTCAGTGCTGGCTTCTATCTTTAGTGGACGCTTCCCTCTAAAAATGGATGAATCAGGTAAGTATGTTCACGCTGGGAGCTCTGTGGCAAATACATGCTTTTATATGTATTTATGCATTTTATAGTATATCTCCTTTCCTAATCTTTTGAGCATCAGTTGGTTTCTTTAATTCCAGGACGTAAAACAATTGAGCATGTGTGCATAGTCTCAAATAATTCACCTGAATTTCGCAAGACTGCTCATTTTTGCAAGCCTACATGTTTGTATAGTGCTTACCCCTGCCTTGACCGAATTCAGACTGTGGCTTTGGAATGGACTTCTTCAGCGTCAATATGAAAATAGATAAATTTGGCCAAGTATTTGGCTTTTAACTTGGATCCTGTTTATGAACCCCTATATTCCCCACAGGTATCTCGCTCTGCCTGTTCGTTATGTAAGGAGATTTGGGTCTAGTATTTGCTTCAGAATACTTCATTACCCAGTAAGGATTTCATTTATCACTACCATGGCTTGATATGAAAGCTTGAATAAAACTGGTCAAGGGCCAATTTCACACTTGTTTATGACTTGCAAGTCCTGGAAAATATGTCCAGTTTAAAGTTATGACAGCTGGAGAATAGTAATTCCCTGTTGTACACTTTTGACTGTTTAAAATATCTGAAAAGTTTAACATTTTTACAGTCAGGGCTTTGCTACCATCTCTCAGCAGACAAAGGAGAGAAAAAGAAACGAAAAAGTACTGTAAAACTTGAGCAATATTCACGGAAGGTTAGACTAGATGTATATTGGAGCTGATGCTGCTTTTAACTCTTTTAAATTGCCTAGGTCCAAAATCAAAAAAAATCTCTGCCATGGTGAGAAAAGATGTATCTGCAGTTAGAAGTGCACCTAGAATTAGATTTTGGCATTGTAAGTGCAGTGCAATACAGCTAAGGTTGTAAGCTGGCATGGTCCTAGGAAGATTAGTGATTTCACTGAAATTTCAAGGAAATGTTTACTGCAATAAGAATTTTATCTTCAAATAAAAAATACGACAGGGAAACAAAATAGTAGTTTTGAAAGAATAAAGAAGGTATACTTACTCCTGTAAGTAAAACTAATGCAGTATTTTTATATGAAGGCTTCACGTGATTATTTGGTAGAATGTGACGAGTCTGGCTTCCTTTGCCAGAAGCACTATTTTAAATACTTTTTTTTTTTTGTTTCCAGGAGGGTGCCTCATTGATCGAGATGGAAGCCTCTTCAGATATATTTTGGATTATCTTCATGGCGAAGTTTGGATTCCTGAAGGTGAACAAATCCGAGCTGCCCTGCAGGAAGAAGCAGATCATTTTGGCATCCCTTACCCATACAGCCTGCCTGACCCTTTGGCTAATGAAACGGAGACAAACTCTCTAAGGGCAGATACAGAACTTAAAAAGGCCTTCACATTTCTGACATGTTGAATGATGGACTCTCTAACCCACACCAGTCATTAGCATCAGATACTAAAGCTACACTATATGCAAGTTTGCACTTTTTAATCACCACGTTAAATCAGTGCAGTTAGAGTTTTAGGGTTGATAAAGCACTCATAGCAGGTAAGGACATGAGCTTTTCCCATTGCTGCAATGCAGCAACAGTTTAGATCTGACTCTTCCACGTACAAGTCTGCTGTAAAACCTGGATGGTAGGAATGACCTTGACTTCCCTATTTGGTTTCAAATTTGCCTTCAGATTAGATTTGATCCCTTCAAGATGTTTGGATTTATTTTTTTTCCAGTTTTACAATTTCATCCTTAAACTCGAAAAATGACATGTACTTTGCCATTTTATAGAGTGAGAAAGTAGAAAATTATTTAAAATCCTTCTTGTCTATTTTAGAATTCTGTAATTTAAAATCTAATTCAACTGATTGGAAATGGACTCCTCTTACCAAGTATTGCTGTGTTAGTCCTGACAGTCAGCCTTGCTCCCTTAGTAAACTGTTGCTGCAGGTCTCTCGCATTCCCCCTTACTGATTTCCTTTAGAAAAGCATAAAACATTCCCAGGCCTTTCAGTTTCTCTTCATATTGAAGATTTGCCTTTAAGTATTTCTGTTGCCTTTCTATTAATTTCTCTAGTTTGACAATATTCTCCGTAAACATCAGCTAAGAAATACTGCACACAATATTCTAGATAAACTACATCCTTGGTTTACTTAGAGGAGCTCATCAGTACACTTAAGAAAACTTAAAAAAACTATTCAACTAAAAATACAGTATTCTTATTAATGCTCTGTATTTGGTGTTTTATGTATTTTCTAGGCTTTGTTAGATTTCTGCAATTCTTATGATTTTGTTATTACCAAGCCTATGGTTTGGGTCCTGCACTATCTCGGCACTTCTGGAGCAAGCTGTGAAAGTAAAATTATTGGTGTGTAGGCCACCAGAGCTGATGGGACCGATGCAATTAATCAGGAGCTCGGAACGGAAATTCATAGAAAAAGTGTTTACAAAAGGTAAGATTACTGTCAGACACAGGAAAGCGCTATGAAGCGAGAATGAACACTCAGGTAACATCACCCAAGTATGTGCAGCGTAATACAGCACTGTTGTACCCTAAATCTGTGGAAGGAATCAGGTTCTTTTCAGCTGTGAAAATACTGGCTAATTCAAACAAAGAAAGATACAAACTAAGCTTGGAGTACAAGAATTTGAGAGTCTGCAGCAGGTGGCTAGCATGCAGTTGCTCTAAGTTTTCATTATGTTTTACTTGGCATTTTAAAAATGCCTGAACCGTTCAAAATGAGTTCCTAATCTAGGATGGTGTGCACACCGAGTACAGTGGGTGAATCCCCATCCAGAAACGGTTCCAGCAATACTCACAGAGTTGGTTGCCGTAATGGAATTGTATTTTGCAGTCTTCCGAGAGAGCTGAAAGACACATTTAACAGCGTAAACCACTGAAGATGAATAGAAATTGTTTTAATTCTTTACATCTCTACTACACTGTTAATGTACTTCTATGGCAGTAATTATCAGTTACTGGCAGAGCCATACTTGTCAGTGTCTGGAAGCAATTCGTCTTCCTCTGGGTCCCACAGCGCAGTGTCAGATGTGGGCCACACCTCACTGTGCCTTTTCAAACACCATCAAGATGGAGCTTTTGATGTTTCATCATCTCTGTAATAAGATGCTTGTTTTCCTAAATTTAGGCTGGGAACGTTAATATTTATTCCAAGAGTATCTGGACATGTAGGATCAGGTATCTGTCCTCTGACTGTGCTTTCCCTTTGAATAAATGATTGAGATTTAGAAGAGCAGATTTTACACCATTAATTCTGTCATTATCCTTTTATGAACATCTATTCTTTCATTAATACCCAGTTTTAGCAATAGGGGGTCACAGGCAGATCACAGAAGACGGCTATTTAGAACTTCTTACACAAATGAAAGTGAAATTAACATTTTCCTTTCTACTTTTCAAAATATTTACTATTAATTCCTTATAGTTAGGATTTGTTAGAAAGAATAATATGTTTAATGAGTGTTACATTTTTAAGGACCTGGCCAGGTTAGCCATATAACTGTTACCTTTAAAACAATATTTCTAGAGAAGCTGGAAATAACGTCCAATACATCTGGAGCTATTACTCAGCAGCTGAGCTGAAAAATATGATGGACGTTTTCGATGCCTGGGAGGGGAGAGGTAGAGTATTCTTTTTTCCTTGATTTCAGCCATGCTACCTTTTTACCGAAAACCAGTAAGTGTAATAAAACCACTGCACACGTTTTCACTCATTCAGTAACCGCTATGTTGTGAAATAACCCAGAGTAGCGGCTATTTGGAAAAAGAATGTCTGAAGGGCTGCTCCAGCCAGGTGACCGAGCCGACAGGAACGGATGCAGCGAGAGCCGCCGTGGGCAGGTGCTGCAGCTGCGGCAGTCCCAGAGCCATGCTCACGTCAGCGCAGTTTCAGAGCCGATACTCTACGCGGTGAGATGCACACATTTGTTCAGTCAGGTCTATGTGCTGATGACGTGGACGGTGTCCTCAGCTGCTAAATACCGCGTCCCTTTGGCAGGCAGGTGTCAGCTGCTGGAGAGTGCCTCAGGAGCTCACTGAATGTTGGCCTCTGGAAGAACGTCCTTTGAAAGGCAGTTTGCATCATGCTCCTCCAGTTCATAAGAGGTACGCTGATTTGCTTAGGTGGCTTAAAATAAACCAGAAATACAGCATAATCTTTTTTTTTAAAAATAATTTCAGGTTCTTCTGTGAATGTTGAGTTTTCTTTCTTCTATTTACTTTTTATAAAATGCATTACAATGAGAGACCTCAACTGCAGGAGTGACCTTGCTAGAAACAAACAAGTTTTTAGGCTGCTGAAACTTTTTTCTGTTCTACTTCTGAAGCCTTAAAACATCACTTTAAAGTGTGAAGGAGTTATTTCAAAAAGTGGAGAGCACTGTTAGTTAAATAGACTGCTGATAAAGGAATTTAACTGAAAGCTTTAAGAGGTTAACCGATTTTTTTGTGAGATTCCTTCCTTGACAGCTTTTGTTTTTGCTATTTTAAGATGCATTGTTAATATTCTTTGAGTTTTATTTGGTCTCCATGTTCATTCCTCTCCACTTGCCCATATCTGCAAAAATTATTTTGATTTATATTTACTGATCATCCCTTTGATCTGGCTTGGTCTAGTTTTTTGTTTTGTTAGGTTTCAGGTTTTCTAATGTCCTGTTCAGCTATTTCAGTGTGACCTGGATTTCTATGGCATCATTTATTATTTCCTTGACAAATTAAAGTCTTCTAGGTGTCTGCTCATTTTTCTTTGTCAGCACTGAGAAACATTTGTATACCTTAAAAAGTCTGAGTTTCCTGCAGGCTGAAACCTTCTCAAAACTCTATGTTCCCATTTCTTGAAAGTCTGCAGTTTTCTTAACATTTCACGTACCCAGCTCAGATAACGAAGTCCCAGCTGGTGTAGTTTAACTGGGATACCATTCAAGCCTGATGGTTTGACTGGGCAAACTGCTTAAGGTGAGGTGTAGTTTTACAGCTGCAATTAGATGCATCGTCAAGTGATGTGACAATGGTTTGCTTTGAATCTTTGTGAAATTGCCATTTGTTATAGAAGAGACCATGTGCAGAAAGTTACTCCAAATTAGTGATTTAACAATTACTAGTATGTAATAGCTGCCCTCTAAAGGCTGACCTAGGTACCACCAGTGTAGTTTGATGGGTTACTTTTTCCCCTCACAAATGCTGTCAATCTTCCAGTTGTTTAGTTAAATTTCTAGAAGTTAAATTTCTAGAAGATCACTCCTCTGTGATGACACACGGGCTTGTGATGCAGAGGGCTTATTGTCACCAAGATGTGGTTCAAACAGAGGTAACTATCTGTTTGCTTCAGTGTGAGTATGGAAGAAGTCCGGCACACTTGGGGTAAGCAAGCAGACGTTATTTCATGTACAGGTAGATATTACCACTGATCCTCAAGGAGAGTTCATCAGGCTTAGTTTTAGCTGGAAAGCCACAGGAATGCTAAAGCTACATCTTTTTTTTTCTTTCAGACTGTTCTAGTTACTTGCTTACCAGCTCTTCCAGAGCAGAAAAGAACTCTTTTAAACCAGCTTACATTAAAATTGCTTAGATAATAAACATGATGTAGTTCCAGTCTTACCACTGAAAGAAATACTGACATACCCAGGAGTAAGAAGGTTTCATCTACTTCCTCCTTCCCAATCCACAAAGGACAAATTCTCACCTGATAAAAACAGGAGGCCTCTTGTGCCATCAGTGAAGCTGTCTGTCCCTGAGCTGCAGCGACAAAGCATGGTTAGAAGCAAAAACACTATAAATACTCTGTGGTAATAAAGCCCCACAAAAATCTAGAGTCATTTTGGGCAATAGCTCTGAATAAAAGATGTTAAGCAGCAGAAAGAGGTAAGGCTGATGTTACAGACCATTGTTGCTTTTTGGGCATCTCTTCTTACAGAATTTTCTTCTTTCCAAAACAATCTATTTATACCAGAATCGGTCACTCTTGGATGAAAATTATTTTGCAAATTTATGTGGCCATTTGATCGGCTGTGCAGCATGCTCAGAGGCTGTGTCAAAGACCTGGCCCTTTTCAAAGCTGCCCCTTTCCCATATCTCTTTTTTCACTCATTCTAGTCTCCGATACAAAATATGTGAAAATTTTAGCGCACAGGGTTTTTTTGTAATTTGCCATAATAAAGTATCTGTATTGTCTCAAATTTCTGGCAATTTCTATGACGTCCTCAGGTGGGTAACTGGCAGTGCCACAGGAACTTGGACCCCTGCATCTTGTGGTGGCCACAACTACATGAACAGGGAAGATGTAGCTGCTTTGTAAAATCTTGATGCAGCCCCATCACTACATGAGGAAGCAAAGTCACGGTAAGAACTGCCGCCCTACACCTCACACCAGGTGTTCCCCCGCAGCAACACGGTCCAGGAACTGCTATGACATCACTGTTTCCTTCCAGAACTATTAATTTCTCTCTTAGGGTGCCATTTTCAAATATGTCAAGTGGTTTGGGTTGGGGTTTTTTAACCCTTTTTTTCCAAATATGCGTATCATTCCAGGTTTTCCAAATAGCTCAGCTATGTTAAGTTTCCTTTTGAGTTTTCCAACTGTGTATTTGTTCCTTTATTTTGCCAACTTCTGCACTTACTCGAGTTTAATCTTACAAAGACTGGGCTTACACAGCCCAATTCCCAGCCCAACCAACTCCACCCTTGCTTCTCTCACCAAAGATAAGGTGTTTGCGTCACAGCCCGGAGAGAAATGCCGTCTCTCACCTGTTAAGTCCTGCGTCCGTCACACACTGAACCCCCCGTACGCCAACGGTGAGCTGGGACCGACAAGCACCAGGTGATCCTGTGGTGCTTGGTTCTGACTTACCATGCAGATTTTAGTGATCTGTAGAATCCTGCTTCTGAGAGGCTGGCTTATGGAATAAATAAGTTTCAATAATCCTGTCAGGTGCAGAAGCAATGAGGGAAGAGTAAAAGTCATTATAGATAAGTTTTCTTTTTTTTTTCTTCTTTTGTTTTAAGATGGATTACAAGAAGAGACATAAATTTAGCAAATTATGAAAGGATGATATAAAAACATTCCTATGTAATAGCTGCAGGGAAATTATAATTACATCTCTTAGAGTGAGGTTTTAGAGGTCAAGCTGTAAGGCAGTAGATGAATTTGGGAAAGCTGCTCATCTGATGGGCATGCACATCAATTTCAGTTGTGCTTTCTCAAAAAATTCAGCCTGATAGGTAATCAACTAGGATAGAAGCAGTGCTTGCAATGCTGAGAAAGTCCACGTTTACCTACGCATGGTTATTTTTTAAATACTACTCTTCCTGATGAAGATGAGTTATTTGCCTTTTATAATCAGGTTTGCCCAATATTCACATGTGGAAAACTGTATACAGATATCAAGAGAAATAAAGAAAATCAAAATCACCCGTAAGGAATGCCCCTCACTTTACACCTTGAGATTATTTTTCAAGGGCCACAGAGGAAAAGTAAACCAGTCCACGCCAAGGAAGCGTGTGGTCAGCGAACAGAAATTAGGCAGAGGAAACTGGTAAAAAGCAATAGCAAAAGTAACCTTCGAATAAACTGCTAAAGGTGCACAAGTGTCCTGGCCTTGCTGACCTTTGACACCTTTCCGATTCTGACAGGCCAACAGTTCACTTGATACCGGGTCTGGATTCTGACGCCTTACTACGTTGAGTAATACCTTACATCAGAAGTATGTCCGGGAGAGAGACAGCCCCTCGGGAAGGTTCTGTTCTGTGCACTCATGGCATCAGAATCGAGCTAAAAGCAAAAGCCTTGTCCACTCCAACCTCAGCTGCAAGCAGCCCAGCGACACCAGCTGAGCTCAGCAAATACAACTGGAATAAGATCACAAAGGTTAGGCACCGTGAAGCAGCAAACACCAGAATATTTTATAAAGAAGATTTTAATTTCTTGGAAGAAACAGGTTTTCTGAAATACAGATTCAGAACATTAAGATTTTTATTTAATAGAAAACTCAGAAGGATGTAGTATCTGCTCAAATATGTACCTCCACATTCTGCTGCATGTTGCTGTAACAAATTTATTAGTCATAGCTCTCATTATGGACAGATGGTTCCTACAGCAAAAATATAGAAAAATAATTTGGATTCAAGTCTAGAACACCTGCAGCTTTTTGTGTGCAAAAAAATAAATCCAACTAGTCATAGAAAAGTGGCTGATAAGGATGGAGAATAGGGCTGTGCGTCTGAGTAGCCATGACTATATACATTCCAAACTTAAGAAACGAGCATTTTTCCTCAGCCTCATAGTTTGTCAATGGAAAATATCAATATGTAATACATTTCATACTATTTATACTTGACTTTGAAGATCTCAGATTATGGAATAATAAGCTAAAATCAAATGTACTGCTTTTTCAAATGTTCTTGTGTGTAACGATACTCTCTGTGTATACAGTGTGCATGCATGTACTTGTATACACACACAGAAAGAAAGGTGTAGAGAGATTTGCTGAAAAATTCTACAAGACTATCTGATTTCATTGCAGACCACAGCATACAGACTTCCCGGGACCCTTCTAACACAGGCTGCTCTAAAAAACAATAATGTTGACTGGCATAACCACGTATCTACAACAGGTTTTTGCTATTATGAATTTAATTATCAATTTATTTTTCCAATCTAGATTTCATTTTTCTAAGAAGTAAATGCTGCTTTGGTTAGATTCCGTACTGTCATGACAAAGTAACTGTGAACATACTGGGCAAAGCATTGGAAGTACAAATTAATTTTAATAATTAGTAATAAAAGATACCAACAAGTTTTAAGCAGCAACAGATTTAAAATTGCTATGTTCTGACTTATCTTCTTCACCAATAAGCATCTCGAGCAAGAAACTAAAAGGAAGAGATTGAATTTCTCTGCCTGCCGCCACCGTGACATTTTAAGCCACCAGAGTCACAGCTGGCACGGAGAGAACAGCGGCATCAGCCGAGCCCTCCATCCTTGCCGGACGTAAGTTGCATTGCGACCCCCTTCCAGCGCTGCCCTGGAAAGGCCTGTGATCAGCAGTGTCTAGCGAGTGGGGCTTCCGCCGAGTCTTTTCTGGGTGGGTCAGGTTCTCTGTGGTCCTTGTAGCCGTGGACTGCTCTTGGTTTTTCATAGCTCCTCTGTTTTTTGATCTGAAGCTGTTATGCTGCTGTCTTCTGTGTTCAGACCTAGAACTGCTCTTGGTATTATTGTGATCTGCCTCATTATTGGCACCTTGCGACTTGAGAGATCCATTGAGCCGGACGTTTTGGTGCTGTGGGTTGAATCTTCGTCTCTGGCCAGAGGGCCCATTCTACCCAGAAAGAAATCAGAGAACTGTGAGGTTATCTGCATCCTTCCAACAGACAAGAAATACAGCAATCAGAACTAACAAAAATTGCAGAATAAAACTTGGAGTGTAAGTAGGAGGGGGAAAACACGGTATGGTTTTGACTGTTGCTGGAGTTCTCTATTCGTAACACTTAAAAACTGAACACGGTACATCCAAGTAGCCTGGAAATAGAGACAGCAGGGTCACCACTGATGCCAAGTTAAAATCTGCCGGGATGCCAGAGAATACGGAAAAGGGGATGGAATACTACACAGCTCAACAGCAGCAGTTAAGAGCACTGAAGAACTCGATATTGACTGATTTCTTCCAAAATAACAAAAATACCTTTCCCAATAAAGCACGATGTAAATACTACAGCAAGACTGCAGGAAGAGCAGAAATTCACATGTAAATTAAAGTCGTTAGGAATCCACATGGAGGGAGAGACTCCCACTGAGATATCTTGCTCAGGAAGCTTTATTCCCTAGCAGGAAGTGGGTGAATTCCTTTATTTGCATGACCGCCAGGGCAGCTGGTTTCACACTGCACCAACATCATGCAACGCTCTCATGGTTCCCTTCAGGCACCTCCTTGAGCCTAACACCCGCACTGGGACAAAATTCAGACCAACCTCAGTGATGGCTTCACCTAAGCGTAACAATACAAGGACATTCTAAGGTGCTCTTATAATAACACAGCTACCAGTACAGCATGATACTATATGGCTCAGTCAGCTGAGCGCACCGCTAACAACGCTAAGGTCGCGGTTTCAATTCCCGTTCAGTCCCCATGCGTTGCCTGATCTAGTCGAGAGGTGGCGTCCCTGGCGGCAGGGAGGCTGGATTAAAACGATCTCTAAGGTCCCTTCCGGCTTAGGCCATTCTATGATTCTGTGATACAGCTTCTGAAACAGGAAGCTGGCAGGATTCCACTTCCAAGACTCTGATGTTTCAACAGCACATCAACTGACCGTTTCCCAGCGATCAGGAATAAATGTTTTTCCGTTGTAGCGTGTAGGGTAAACTGGCTGTTACGGAAGGTCTTTCAGCCTACTAACTGCCACCCAACACCAGGCAGCAGTCTGCTGGTATCACGTTCTAGTATTTCCCTGTATGTTTGCGCTGCGCCTTGAAAATAAAGCTGGAAAACGTATACTTGCGTATTTTCAAAAAGTATTAAATAAATATAGGGACTGCAAACCAACACTGGACTTTATATTAACAACTTTCACTACTACATATTTTTCTGAAATTTTAAAAATTAGCAGTTTATTTCATAACTGGTTTCTTACCTGCTTATTTGTTGGGGTTCCTTGGGAAGAAGATTCTGTAGGACTGCAAGAAAGATGACTTGGTACTTTAGTGCCGGCTGATCTATTATCAGAGTTTTTGGCATTACTAGAGGACTTTCGGCTGTGCGTATTTTGCTTGCCAGCTGTTGCATGCGAGGTCATTGAAGACAGCACTGAACTACACGGTGTTCTTGAGGAATAGTTGTTCTTTGGGTGAGAAACTACAAAAAAAGTATTCTGTGTTATCAGTTAAACTATCAACAGCAGGCTGTACTCTTACCCTGCTTACAGTTAATTTTGGTAGCATCACGCCAGCCTTACTTTAAACAATGAAGTAAGTTTGATAACTAGGTCAGAATAACTGTAGCAACTGAGGATCATCTGTTAGGTTTTCTAAGGCCCTTACTCACTGACACCAACATCACCTATTTCTCCCACTAGGTGTCCTCTTTAGAAAAAGAATTCAGTGATGTGAACAAGGAACTGAATTTTTTGTCCCAAGTTCATTGTGGCTGGCTGTCACTGAATTCTGCTCTTCTCTCTCGTCCTTATAAAACAGACTGCTGCACATGGAAGCCCACATAAAAATCCAGGTGCTTGTCATAAAAATGTATTTTTAACAATACGTACAAGGAAGGGGTACAACTTACCACTGAGCATTCCGGATATATATAAGTTCCATTATTTTTGTTTCTTCCTGACCTTCATTGTGAGTGGACACTGCCCACCCTCTGCTCGTGCTAGAGCAAGCCTTCCTGTGCCCAAGCTCTGTGGTTTAGTGAAAGCCCTCGAGAGTGGCTGTTCCTGGCTACAGGTGTGCAAGGGGTGTTTGCAGCTCCTAGTGGGGTACGGGCCTCGTTGCAAGATGCAAGAAACATCTTTGACACTGAAGGGCTTTGCTTATCAAAGACACGCCAGCAGCACGAGTTGCTCATCTCAGGTCACTGAGGGCAGATGAGAGCCAAGTTCTTCAGCCAGCCGGTGCACCATCAGTCACTCGTAAGATGGCACTGCTTCCCGGCTAACGGCTCTTCTGACCTCACTGACCCCTTTTCAACAGATCTGCACCAAACTATGCTTAACTAACACTTCACTGAAACTTGGTATAAGCAAGTAACTGCAGCTAAAAATTAACTGCAGCTGGAAGTCATCTACAAAAGTAGTTCAATGAGTTTTAAAAGAAAGTCTACAGTTGTATCAGTAGCAGCTGTGGTTCTATTAGGATAGTCTCTACAGAATTTTCAATCTCTTCAGCTTCAGGGCATGAGGTAGGGTCTAGGAGGTGACTACGAACAATGAGGTGCATTGCTGTGAAGCTTACGGCCTCCTTTGAAATGTCCCGAGTTGATGCTGATCAGCGAGAGACAGTATGTGGGGTTAGATGATCTTCAAGTGTTCTGCAAAAGCAATTCTTATGGTCTAATGAATTAAGCCGGTTACACAGCAAAGGAGTCAGTTCTTCAGCTGTGCAGTCAGCAGATCGTATTAGCAGACTGTGTGATCTTTTTTTTTCATTTTTTTCCTATTTTTAGTAACTTCTTGAAAACATTAATTATCTTCCTCATGAAACTGTTTTCTTTCCTCCAGGATGCACTAGTTGGGTACTGTGTTAACAGTTTTTCTCCTGAGTGATGGAACTGACGGGATATCATAGGACAGGGTAACATTTGGTGCAAAGCATTATAGCATTTACTTTCTTTTTTGGGGAGGAAAGCATGACAAAGATGAGAAACAGGCTATCTGGTATTTTGCAACAGGGACATGATACTTGGAGCAGAAAATGAACCTGAATTTCCAAGCAGAAGGGCAGATAATTTGGAAACAGGAACATCTGGGACTACCTTTAGCTCCTGAAAAAACCCAGTGAGTACTGTTATAAATCTGAGGAGTTACTTCCTATCAGGAGAGTGCCGAACTGGTCTTGTAACATTGTGCTCACATAGGGAAGCTTCTGGTTTACTAGTTATTCACAAATTACTGAATTTGAGTGTTCCCCAGAGCTGACTTTTATTTCCACTTAGAAATCCTGTTCTGATGGAAAACTCCGGCTGATCTGAGTAACACCTGGCAACGTCTGACAAAGAGAGCGCTGTGCACATACAGATGGACTGTGCAGCACACGCAGCATCTAAGGTGTCTGACTTGGGCATGTTCCCTGAGCCTGCAGCACCATGCATGTCAGACTGGCTGGCACACATCCTGTTACTTCTGCCGGCATTTCCTGCACAGGCACGTGGAACACCATGTTCCGAGAACAACTGCGTGGGAAATCATCAGCACTTACTTTCTCCACAGAGCTGAATTTGAGTCTTCAGCTGTTCTGTATCACAGGAAAATCGGGCAGACCTGCCCAGCTCTTCATCATATTTCCGCTCACTCACAAAGTGCTGTAAAAATACAGACAAGTTAGCAGTGACTTGCATTCTGAGCAAAAACTATGTGGATAGCACAGAAAACAGTCAGCACTCAAGTTCACTTCAAGGCTCAGCAGGCTCTTGACCCTGCCCTGTACACAGCATCTCTGTGCAGAACCAAGTATTTTCCCATCCTTACCAAATTCCGTGTGTCTCAGCCCAGTGACGGGTGGATCATTTCACTGGAGTACACACGTCTGATCACTAAACCTGAAGCTATTGGGTTTACTTCTTAACTGAGTCTGCTAAATGATACACAAACAGCACAACTGCCCACCGCTACCTTTAGGAGGGTACAGCTTACACTTTTCCGACAGTGTCTATGCACAGCTCAGAGGTGCTGTGATGCTTTAAGAAGTTACACTTTCCCCACGGAAAGGTGGTGACCCTTTGGCCCAGAGGAGGAATGAACAGCCTGAGCATGTTAACATGACAGCTCTTGGCTTTTACGTGAACAGCTGAAATATTCATGCAGAAGTGAATGCCTGACCTTAATTTCAGCCCTGAGTTCAGACAGTTGTGCTTCAGCCATCTGACTGGCTAGGTCTGTCAATCTCTTCAGCTCCTCAGCTTTCTTCTGCCGAGCAGTCAGGATTTCCACTGCCAAATACCAAGTCAATAATTAATGCTAGGAAGGTAAATTTGCTGTGTAACTCACTACACTTTGGGCATTCACACTGCACATCACACGTGAGACAAACACGCATCTCAGACCTCCGACTTCAGCTGCACTTCCAACATGCTGCTTGAGCAGATTAAGTCAATCATTGCAATTAACTGAACTGCCTGGTGTTGAGAAAGATCTGGGAATGAGGTAGCTGTCAGAAAATAAGGTAAAACATTCCTTCAACATTTAGACCAACTGGGCAGAGACATGTTGTTCTGAGTTTTGTAGTGCTTGATTTTCAAGCACTGAATCAGGCCTAATCAGCCTTCCATGGAGACATGGAAAGAAGCATTACACTGAGTTAGCAGCCTGTTTCTGAGGACATGGTAGATTTTATTTACACAGGGGCATTTCAGTTCCCCTGAAAAAAACCTCTTCATATATAGTTGACATTAAAATCACTGGCATTACAATTTTGCTTTTAAGTACAGAATATACACAGTTGCCATTTCTACAGCAAAGCAGTATTACAAAGGCCAACAGCTTTTATGAAAAATTACTACTGCCCATCTTATATATTTTCTATAAGGAAGAGGTGAATAGCTACATTTGTATAGGAAAAGATTATTCATGAACAACAAAGCAACAGTCCACTTACATGCAGGATAATACGACATTACAGTTTTGGTGAAAAATTAAATACAAGCAAACTCTCACATGGTGACTCGATGTAAAACGAACAACTGATTAACCGGCTGGTGGGATCAGCACTTATGGCAGAGAGGAAAGACAGCATCTAAAATCATAACAATCGTAGTCTTTTGTCTACAGCTTGTGACTACAGCCAGGGTGAGCGGCAGTCGCTGTAAACTATCCTAAGGCCACAGAGTCTGTCACAGCTGTGGAGACTTCGGCTTCTTTGCCTTCTTTTGCCAAAAACTTCCAGAGCAGACTTGGCAAGTCACCTAACCAGCTCAGACTTTGTAACGCCATGGGTTTGATAAGAACTAATGACATTTCACAGAGAGTTTGTCTCACAACCCACTATCATTTCTTTAATCACGTGGCACCGTCTTTTCAAACTACACATTCATAGAATGCGTTGGGTTGGAAGGGACCTCTGAAGGCCATCCAGTCCAACCCCCCTGCAGCGAGCAGGGATATCTTGCACTACATCAGGTTGCTCTGAGCCCCATCAAGCCTGACCTTGAATGTCTCCAGGGATGGAGCCTCCACCACGTCTCTGGGCACCCTGTGCCAGTGGCTCAGGAGGCCAGGCAGGGCACAGAGCTGCAGGCGCACGGCTGCGTGGGAGCATCCAAACCGCGCAGCACAGGAGCGCAAGGCAGGGAAGACCAAGGGTGGCTGCAGTTCCTTCCCCCTGTTACTAAATCTGTGCCTACGTTATTACTTATGCTAAGAACAGGTGTGTATCTATCTCTCTAGCTGATTTCCTAATTAAATGTTTTTGTGGAATATGGTCTACAAGTCTGAGAAACTTGTATCAGATTAAACAAACAATTTATTAGCTGTTTTTCTATGTCCAATAGGTCTGTTTTATTGCTTTCTCTGGGTACAGCTAATATTGTTTCTCCGCAAGGCCAGCATCCCCTTTGCTGAAGTGACTGCCCAAACCATATGATCTCATGTCATACTGGCACTTACCTCTGCATGAGATGCCAGCCAAATTCCCATTTTTTTAAAAAACCTGAAATTATCATATTCGGAAATTTTCCCAGGATTGACAGTAAGATTACCCACTGTAAAACAGTCCTCCAGTGCAGCAGAGAGATGTGAAAATAAATAATAATGTAAATCTTGGTTAGCATGTCACAGTCCTACAACAACTTTCTGCCTAAAATTGTGAGGGCACTTTAAAGCCTCCAAAGCCCTGAGAGGCTGCCGGGCCTTTGCGGTTAGAGACAGGTGTGAGGGCTCTCCCAGTCAGCCATGGAGCCAGCGGGGACGCAGGGAACTAGAACCTGCCCTGTGCAAAGGAGCCCTTCGCCTGCCCGCACGCACGCAGGAATTACGTTCACTTTTCACAACAGTGACTGCTCCATCTGGCCAAGGTTAGTGAAGGGGCCCTAGGATACCACCCTAGAACCACAGAATGGCCGAGGCTGAAAGGGACCTGGAGGACGGATTTCCAAAGCGTGTTTTTGTTTATGCGGTTTGGGCTTAGATCTGTGTCTGCTGTTATCAGTGGGAATGTTACCCTTGGTTTTCCTAGAGCTGATAATGGCTACCTGGTCCATGCAGGTAACCAAAAAGCTCCTCCCCAGACTAGCACAGAACTCCAAATCCACATCTATTTCACATTAGTACTACAAAAGTTAGCATACAAAATTCCAAACGTAAACTACTGCCAGCCTTGGCTGTAACAACTCATACCTTTTAGTTTCCACACGTATACAGCTGCAAGAGATTGAGCTAGCAAAGGACGATTTAAATTACTTTTTAAACAACAATTCAGCCAGTATGCTCTTGTGAACTAAGTAAGAGTTCTAAATGCAAATGAAGCATTCAAGAACGTTACGTATATAATATATCAATATAGCAATAAAAGAAGTGTACGCATACCTAGCAGTGATATTTTCATCTGCCAGGAAAAGTATGATTCTAATAATATTTGGGCTACTCTTCGGTTTCTGGCTTAGTGCTCTCTGTTGAAACACATCCCCTTGATCACTGGGCCATGAATACTGCATCTCAGATGAGGCAGAGAGAGATACTGTGCGATCCTAAAACATAACTCAGCTTGCTTTCCCCCGCAAACCAGGGTACGCAAAAACCAGAGATGACGTGAATGCCTTGAATCAGATCAACTCCCACAAATTATTAAGATATCAGATTGCAGTAAACATCTGTTTGTTATTTTTTTATTTATTTCTGCAAGTTATAAGCTTGATCACTATCTCTTAAAGCTATGCAAGGCCACAAAATAACCTATACTCCTAGAAATTTCCAGTATTGTAACTCATGTATGTAATATAAGCAAACAAACTGTGATTAAGAAATGGAAATGAAATAATCAACAAACTATTGAAATAAGAAAACAAAAAAAAGGCCAAAAAAACAAGTGTTCAAAAAGCTCTTGTAAGTAAGCAGAAGGAATAAATAATTTAAATCTAACTTCATATGAACTTCTGGCTTACCTTAATTTCAGAATATTAAAATTTTGATGCACAATCTTTATAAATAGAAACTATACAGAAATTATCCCAGAACATCAAAGACTTATTTGACTGTATACAAATACAATAAAAGATGATGGAAAGCCGCTATCCAAATTTGTAATGTAAGCTAACCAAATTCTATAATTTTCTGCCAAACAAATCATTTGTTTCTATGACTATGGCAAAAGTTCCCTGTGTATTTTTTTTACTTACTGGCTTCTTCTTTAACTTTATCAATTTCTGCCATTAATGACACTTCTTTGTCTACGATGCTAAAAAAGGAAAAAAAAAGAAAAGAAAAAAACACAATTTAATCCATGCTAGAACTGTATCAAATTCAAAAGCTATAACCACACAAACACTTCAGACCTCAGTTATGGGCGATTTTGGAATTAATAAGGCTTAGAAAAAACCGAAGCTGAAAAAACATCTAGGCAAACTGACTACAAAAGATTAGTGATAATCAGCGTGTGCAGATTCGCACAAACATCTCACTAGCCTGCCACGCGTGTGCACAGACGTGGAAGTCACTCCGAATTCACCTGTTCAGCACTGCCTGGGCACAGCTGTCCTCAAACGATTCAACAGGCTGGCTCCCAAGTCACCCAAGTTATACCATTGCTGCCACTCGGGTCAGTGCAGCTCAGCTCTCAATGCAGCATTAAGAATACCACAGAGGGAAAGCCTTGTGGAAAGAGGTCTTCTTCCTTAAATAGACATATTCTTGCAAAATATGTTCAAGAAAAAAATGGGGTTTGATGTAGAGAAGCATTAATGTATCTTGATAACAGCTTCCTCGCCCCCATTCTCTCCAGGACTGGCAAGGTGTGGTTCCACTCTTACCTGGCCTTCCTAAAGGGCTCGCGTGCCTCTCCTTTCACAGAATCTCTGGCACGCAAACCCTGACAGTGCTTTTAAGCAGTGCAAACCGATCGGGTTGGTCTAAGTGCGAGCAGAGAGTAGCTTGGGTAAATTGTTCATATCATCAACCCAGCAACGCTGTTCACTGAGATAACAGCACTGCAGGATGCTGTGCAGTGGACAGTACTCTGCTCTGCCAGCCCTTGTTTCCCTCACCAGATTATTCTTGGTCTCTTCACATTTAATAAACACCACCAATGCTTATGTTTGCACAAGCAGCTGGGGCTAAATAGCAAAACGCATATCAACCACCAGGAGCAAATCCAGGCACACACTCGAGGGATGACCGGAGCTCTCAGTCCTTTCAGTAAAATCATCCCTAAATGTATGCTTTTGTACGCAAGTTACACAGAAGTGAACCAGCTGCCATTAGAAGGAAGACATTACAGAAAATAAGAAAAAGCATTTGTCTAGAATGCCCTTGGGAAGAAAGGAAACATCCTCCAGAGTTCAGTGGGCAGCAGTCCAAGGCAGCAGACTTTGAGGAGCGAAGGGCTGGCGGGTTGTTACCCGACCCTGGCAGTGGCTGGGGTTTTTTGGCAGGGAGCCGGCTCAGCCACAGCCTTACCAGCCGGGACGTGCCCGGGAGCCGCGCACCCTCCCCTGAATCTGCCCGAGTTAACCAGGCTCATGCAGTTGGCTTGCAAGAGGGGTTCTGCAGAGCCCTGCCCTCGGGTTTTACCCATCAACCACACCACCTCCAGAGCAGAGGCTACGACCTCTGTGCTGCCTCCTGGCAGCTGCCAAGAGCGACACAAGCAGGGGCACCGACAGCAAAGGATGCACCAAAACAGTACAAGTGCAGCGTAACACATTTTTCTGTTTCATACATATAAACAAGACCAGATATACTGTTTTGGCCTGCCAGATCAATTTAGTGTGACCTACACATCAGAGGAACCAAACCAGCTTTTTTTTTATGGTCGAACAGATCAGTTAGGAGGTATACACTTACAATGAAAGGATGCACTTGTTCCAGTTGGCCCTCAACATCCTCCACGCATAAATGTCAAGCTTGGACTCCAAACAGGCAGGTGATGATCCCAGCTTGCTAAATAGCTATAGCTTTTCAGAATTAATCTATTTTCAAATAGCTCTCACAGCTACATGGTATAATAAACTTCCTAAGTTTTCACAGCAGACGGCTTGAAGAGAGTCTTGCAAATTCTCACCTGTTTCTATCCTCCACAGAAAGATATTTTAATGGTCTTTAGAGTCTTCACCTAATTTAGGGGGAAAAAAAAGTCTGCACGTTTTCGCTTTTGCTGTCGCTGTAACAAAATTGCTTCCCTAGTACACTACTACACGTTATATAAACATGAACTTTTGGCTGGAAAAAGTATTCAAGGAACAAGGTCACAGTAGCAAAGCTCATCAGAACTGTGTTTTGGTCCAGTTCATTACATGACAGTCCCCTCTCCCCACTCCAACAACAGAGCCTTGCTAAACTGCTTGGCCCGTAACGTTTTGGTTTGATGCCAAATAAAATCACTTTTAATACTAGAATGAGCACAAGGCCATAGCACTTCTATATTTATATTTTATAGTCAAATCTCATCTGTTATGAGACAGTTTTCCACTCGTAATGTTTTAGCGTGGTCTCTGCTGAACATCTCAGCAGTGTGTTCGAATGTTGTAGCAAGAGAGGCCAGGACGGATGAAACTGATGGAGAACCACCACCAGAGTACTTCTCTTGTAGCTACAAACTAACATTGGGAAAACTAAAGAATAAATCAAGAGCAAAAGAGTTTGCTGCCTTTGTCAATAGGAGACTAGTCATAATCTCAGTGTCTTCAAGGGACAGATCTGGGTGGGGTTGCTCTCCCCTGAAGCCAGTGCAGCTGTACCAGCTTACACCGGCTGAGGACACGGCCTCTCTCTCACTTGTCAAAAGGACAGGAACATATTAATTCTCATCTGGAAGCGTACAGCCACATGTCTCAGCCCTGAAACCACGAACTACCATATTTCATGGAATAATGGGAGAAGATAACATTTCTTTAGAGATGCCATAGGCCAACCAGTGCCAGGAAATGCTGTTTCCTCTTAGTTTGCCTAAGGGTCAATTATTAAGGAAACAGAGTAGGAATCAAATTGATTCCTTTCTAGTCATATAGAGCACTTGAGTGCAACGCTGAGCGATTCCTCCTCCATCAAGAACCGGACAAAATTATAAACATGTTGAAAACTGGAAAACTAGATCGAGGAAAAAAAATACGAAGGACATAATAAATACCAAAAGAAAATTAAAAGCTAACAGATACAGAAAGAGAAAAGAACACTATGGAAAAAATCAACACATCAAATCTGATCTCTTGTTCCTGCTAAGATCCTGCTGTCTTCACACAAAGCTCAGAGAGCACCTCAAGCTGAACAGCTTCCTAACTCGCGAGAAGTTTTATTTTCCGGAATAATGCCCTACTCTGCCTCAATAGGACAACCACGATCAGACCACAGTGCTAGGAACTGCTCAAAGCTCAGCTCAGCCATACCACCTAGGAATGTGCTTCCTTTCAACGCTTCTTAGCGGCCACTTGATGCCAAAACTCGTTATCAAGCTGGAATACTCCAGCGCACAGCCTGCAGCCATTGGTATGGATATTGGGTGCTACAGGAACTTTTTGCACACTCTGTAACAACAGGCTTAAGATCTAACTTTCAGATCTAAAGACACTTCACATAAAACATTCTGGTAACTCCTTCCGTTCTCATTAGGCTGTTTCTCTCCGGTCTTCTGCAGATGTTAGGAGTGAGGCTTAAAATCTTAAACATGCATCTTTAGCTGGTCCTACTCTTGTTAGATGTCTTACCTCTTTATTTTTGTCTCCCTTCACCACACCTCTCTTCCGAAAGGACTGATTCTATTCTTCTCTTACCCCTCATTTTTTCAGTATCAGGACCTGGGTACCAAACTTCAGCTATCAGCACAGGCAACTGTTTCCCACAGGCAAGTATCTGGAGTTTGGAGCACAGGATTCAGCACTATTTGATTTTAATATCCAGATGAAACTTTGAGGTGGGGTTCAGGAAGGAGACAATTTTGTCAAAGGAACACAGCAAGGTAGAGCCTTAATGTAGAGGAGCCAGTGCCCATGCTGTAGAGATAAGACGTGTAGCAGGAGAGACAGCAGGTCTCTAGGGTTCATTTTGCTAGTGCGATTCTGAAGGCAAGAGTATAAATGTCCTATTCCTGGTTAGACGGACAGTAGTCGTTCCCTGGACTTAGGCAGGCTGGCAGAATTCACACCAGCATACAGTGGCAGAAGAGCTGCAAAAGCCCAACTGCAATAAGTTGCCATCACAGCAACGATAAGGGCAAATTACGCTGACAGCTGCCTCATTTCAGTTTCATACTCAGAAAAAATTCTGAATTTGTTCTGACATTAGTGGAAACAAATTAATCTTCCTCTAGTTTACTACACGAAATTTAGTGCTTGCACATGAAAAAGAAAAGATATTTTCAGCCAGCTGCGACACCTCAAAATCCCACCAAAATTATTAAAGTTATTGGTGCCTCTTCAGAAAAGCTGCTTCAGGTTGCCAGGCTGACAATTTATAAAGCTTTACTGATGAGAATCACAAGGGTTCCAAATGATCAGAACCTTCTCCTTCCTGCTGCCTCTTCTAGGCATTATGATAAACCTATTGTGCCTGAAGAGATGGGGAAATAAAAAGACCACGCTGACATGGAGGCTGACATGTTGACAGAGATCACAAAAGTAAGGCACAGCTGCATGGCACAGAGGTTGCTGCTAAGAGCATAATTCAGATGAGTCCTTTCAAAAGCCTGTCAAACCCCCCAAAATGCCCATTTTCTCCCTGAGGTGTTCAGTAAGCTTCACTCCCCACTGAACGCTGAGTACTGTTCTGCAGCCTGAGGAAGACCCGGTCAGCTGTGGCACTCCGGCTGACTGCAGCAGGGCTCTGCAGCTCAAGGAGGGAAGAGCTACTTTTCCACAGGCATCCTCTGGGATCTGCTCCAGCAGGTGAGACGCCGCAACACTAAGGTACAACCGGAGTCCTGTTTCCTGGGAAAAGGAGTTAGTTGTGGGACACACCTGGAGAGTTTTTTTGAAACCTAAGCTGTCAAACACAACACAGCATTCTCCAGTGACTTTGCTCTGTCAGCAGGCTTTGGAAGAAACCCCAGCAGCTCCTTAAAGTAACTCTGGTTACCAATCTGGTGACGAACTCGAGCGAGTCAGAGGGACGTTAGGAGTGTCCCTGTCTCTCCTATATCTGAGCTAACACACATGGGACAGGCCCAAGAAGCTCAGTGGTGGTCTTTCAAGCATTATGCCTCACTTCCCGCACACGTTTCCCTTTTAGCATGAACATACTGGACCCACA